TATATATATATATATATATATATATATATATATATTCTAAATCCACTTTCCTCTAGATGGATTTAAGCAAAAAGATTTAAGCAAACTCATCCTTCTTGGTTTAAATTTTCTTTGACCTGGGGTGCGGTGCCTTGGGCCAATTTTTCATAAGGTGTCTAATTTACATGGCAAAACACAGATCTAAATTAAAATTAAAAATCCAAATGTAAGAACTGCAACCCCCAGAATGCACCAGATATACTGGCTACTTATTCTGCAAGCTGTAGTCCCAACACATTCGGGGACATTTACAGAAAGCTGTTCTGGAGGAAGGAACTGTGGGTCAATGCATGGAGAATGCTCAGAATCCTATTCGTGGCAGTTTCTTGCTTATAGCCAGCCAACCATTCATGCCCAAAATATCACATGTTTCTGAGAATGGCTGTATCTTTTTCAGCACTTCAGGGTTGTGAGTTTGCCAATCATTTTCAGCTAACAACCACAAGCAGGGTAGTTATATAGGAAGATCCTTGGTAAATGGATTAGCTCCAGAGAGATCATCATAGGAAATCCATTTGCTCAGTGGCTAGGATAAATCTTGATTTCTCGGGTTCATTTCCTGTTCTGGAAAAGTGCAGTACTAATTTGCTAAAGATATAGATTTATTCATGCAAATTCCACTGAACTCAGTGGGAATTACTTCCCAATAAGCATGCCTAGAATTGTATAGTGTAATTTCTTAGGAATTGCAGCAGGTAGAAATAGCTGAATTCTACAAGCCATTGTTCTGATGAAGCAGACCTTTCTTAAATCCCCCCTAAGGACTAACACAATTTTGGCTTCTGCTTTACAGCTGAACATAAACTAAATGAATTAAACAAAAATCAATAAAAGCAAACCCAATCAGAATGACTTTCATATTTGTAAAACTTCCAGAGAGTGTCCAAGCAACACATAAATTGCAATGTTTTTGACAAATGCTGTCACTTTAATTTGATGCGTTTTTAAGCTTTGTGAATATTTTCTTTAGGCCCAACATTATCATAATTTCCAGAGTCACCTTATCTCACAAATAGAGGATTAGGATTTTTGTGGAACTGTAGACACCAAGATAAACTCAAAGATTCTCTTTTTAATGTAGCTATCCCGAGCTCATGAAGTTAAGTGGGGGGTGGGGAGAAAAAGAAGAATCTATGCTATTAAACATCAAACTGATTTAAGCAAAAAGAGCAAAACACATCCTTCTTGGTTTAAATCTTCTTTGACCTTGGGTGCCTTGGGCCAATTTTTCATAAGGTATTTAATTTACATGGCAAAACACGGCTCTAAATTAAAATCACAATAAGGACAATACTTTGGAGTTTCTCAGATTTCATACTTGTGCTGTTAACATTAATAATTAATATAATAATAATTTTAAATATTTAATGTTTAAATATTGACTAATATTAATCATATTGTGGTGTTAATATGTTAGGTTTAATTTTCAGTTATTAGACCTACGTACTTGTGAATTCATTTATTGTAAATCAATGCTTTTGTTTTATTTTATCATTTAAGCAAATTAATCCATAATGATGGGAAGTATTCCTGAAGGATCTATTGCATTTCTACAAGGTTATATGAAACAGTCTTACATACTACAAGTATGCATCATGGTATATATGCAGTGGTTAGAATGTAGTACTGCAGACTACTTCTGCTGCCTGCTGCCTGTCTGCAATTTGGCAGTTCAAATCTCACCAGCCTCAAGGTTGACTCAGCCTTCCATCCTTCTGAGGTGGGTAAAATGAGGACCCAGACTTTTGGGGGTAATAAGCTGACTCTGTAACAACTTAGAGAGGGCTGTGAAGCACTGTGAAGAGGTATATAAGTCTAAGTGCTAGACTTGAGAGATGAAGGAACAGATACTACTAATCAATGTGGAGCATCATAGCTGCATCATGAGGAGAGAAAGAAACTGAGAAACAACAGAACATAGAATCATAAGGCTGGAATGCACCACAAAGGAGTTCTAGTCCAATTCTCTGCTCAAAGCAGGAGACCTTCTATCATCCTAGTCAAATGGTTGTCTGGGAAGAGCTGGTTTTTTTTTGTTGTTGTTTTTTTGTGGCATGTGGACCTCAAAGCACTTATTTTTCTTTTTTTCTAACTGAAAATCAAAGAAGCCTGCTTTATTATATTATTTTATTTATTTTTGACAGTTTAGAGCCCTTGAGAATCTCTGAAGAGAAGCAAAAGAGACAAGTATATAATAGGAGGAGAGTCACATTTGACAAGACCCATATTTTCTTCTTATAACAGTGACCTCAATTCTATGCAATAAAAAAAGAAGAAGTTAAAAGGAAAGCAACGTCATCTCTGTACCTGAGATCTGTCGATGCGGTAAAAGCGGTCAGCAGAAGTTGCTGCAAAAAAACGAGGAAAGACTTGTGTGAAAAACTGTGTTTGATCCATCAGAAAGGGAAAAATATCCAAACTACACAGCTAAGCAATACCTCAGTTGGGATCAATGAAACTGAGACAAAAGAGCATGAAACTTTTCACTTCTTCAGATCTCTTCATTAAACATGATGGCACAAAAAGGAAGGGAATGGGAAGAAATTAGAAATACATTCCAAAATTAAGTCAGATTTTACAGCCATGAGGCTTTTCTGCTCGTTCTAAGTCTAAACATAAATGAATTTGGTAGTGGTTGGTATTATCAGTATGAGAGATGGGTGTCTTCATGCAAGTATTTGGAAATATCAGTGTATTGAAGAATACAGAGATGGCCTTGAAGAAAGTCTTCAACATAGATTAAGTAAACCCCAGCTTAGCTCTAAAGAGGAAACAGTGAGAAAGAAACTCAAGATTGGCCTGCCTTGATTCTCTTTGGTATAAGAAACAGGGCTATAGAAAGAATCTCTGTCAGGATTTGATTTATTATATGCTGCAACAATACAGCAGAGTTCCAGTACTGCCTCCCACAAAAGGCTGACAAATTGAAAAGATTTGGCTTTTTGTAAGCCTGTCTGGCAGGGAATTCCCTTTCCAGTTGACTGCTGCTTCCAGAGAAGCCCTGTCTACTGACTTTCTGTTCTTAGTAGTTTGTACCTCCCAGAGCTAAATTCCTTTCTCAGGTTCCTCAACAATACTTTTGCATTGTCTTCATCTCAGCTAAAAGCATTTTGATGATCACTAGATGGTAGCCAAGATATTTTAAAAACATAACTCTTGGCTGCCATCTAGGGGTTGATAGGTCAAATTGTCAGCAGCTGACCCTTAGCTTTAGGGAAATTTTTAAAAAGTTCAGTTGATTGACAATGATAGGGGGAGAAAAGAAATATGCATACTAGAGGTGGTATTCAGCCAGTTCTGACCAGTTCTGGAGAACCAGTAGCAGAAATTTTGAGTAGTTTGGAGAACCGGCAAATCCCACCTCTGACTGCCCCCCCCCCTCATCTATTCTCTACCTCCTGAGTCCCAGCTGATCAGCTGGGTCTTTGGTTGTCCTGCAAGGGAGAATGGAGCTGGAGAACAGGTTAGTGGGGTGGGGAGGGAAGGGGATTTTGCAGTATCCTTCCCTTGCCACGCCCACCAAGCCACACCCACCAAGCCATGCCCACAGAACCAGTAGTAAAAAAAAATTGAATACCACCACTGATGTATACAATTATCAGAGCATTGTGCTTGCCCATTTCATTTGCTGGATGGCATTGGGTAAGGCTAGAATTTTAGCCAGTGAAACCACTAACCAATATCCTTGGAATGTATATGGACAACAGTGCAACACAGATCTCATTCGGATGCATGAAATTTAAGGTAGCGTATTTTTTTTCAGGAAAAGAAAGAAGAGAGTTCCTCCCAACATCTCTAAAACAAGCTATCAACCCACAATCTGTTGCTTACTATTAGCAAAGCTTACAAGGTATTGGATTGGCACCAAAAGAGAGGGGGGAGACAGAGGGAAAGAGAGATCAAAAGTTTATCTAAGTGCTTGAAGCAGTGGTGGGATTCAAATTGTTTTACCACCAGTTCAGTGAGCATGGCTTGGTGAGCATGCTTTGCTGGTGCGCAGCTTTCCCCACACCAGCTGAGACCTGCAGCACCAATCAGCTGAGAAGATAAAGAAGAGAAAAGCACAGGGGTGTGTGGGAGGGCTGATCCTGCCCTTTGTTTTAACTACAGGTTCAGCCAAACCAAGCTCAACCAGTAGCTTATCACCACTGGCTTGAAGGCTATATTGTGTTATTTGATATTGCTGAAGGTATGATCAACTGAGAGTTCTGAATTATTTGAAGGAGTATTTCCAGGGGTGGGATGCTACCAGTTCTGCCCAGTTCTATAGAACTGGTAGGTCCGGAGCAGCAGACAATGAACTGGTTCTGAGTTTGCTGCTGTTTGGCCCACACACCTGCCCGGGCTGTTACCTGACCTTTATTTCCTGCTTTTTCAACCTCAGCTGTTTTGCGTGGCATAGCTGAGGTTGAAAAACCAGGAAAAAAGAGGCTTTTCAAATGTTGCGCACCCGCGTGCAGTGCTTTTCAGCTGTCTGTCATGCGTGCCCAGCATAAAATGTAGTCACCAAACTGGTAGTAACACCGGTTGAATCCCACCCCTGGGTATTTCTTAATAAAACATTTCAAACTTGCTACATTTCCAAAGCTGAATAATGATCTTAACAATAAACAACCAGGACTCTAAATTTATTCCTGGGAACCACCATAAAAATGTTCATGTAGTCAGTCTCTATAGACTAACATTTTAACATATCATGAAAAACAGATACAGTTTAATACAGTCCAGTGGTAGTCATACTTTATGTTTATGGAACTAAGAAGTATAAGTTATAAACAATTAGAAATCTGCATTTAATTATGAAACTAGCATCCATCGTTCTCCTGAATCCATGCTTGATAGGCCTGAAAGTACAACATTAATTTTTATCTTTAAAAAAAATCATTTTATTTTATTTTTATTATTCAGTCGATGCTTCTTCTTGCAGGACAGTCAATCTCCTGGGATTGCTTCTAACTGGAGGTTATTCAAGCCATCTCTACATGGCAGCATCTATGAAAGTATACCATAGAACTACTAGAAAAATAAGTACCAATGTCAAGACCCCATCTCCCAAAGTGATTTGGAATAAAAAGCAGAAAATCCTGAACCATACTTATGATATATGTTTGTGCTCTACTGTAGCACACTATTGTAGCATCAGATCTTTCTTTCCTTTATCCATCCTAAGGCCAATTTCCCACCTAACTTATTTTTGAGTAAGACAAAGAGCCTTTATCCATCACCCTTCGTTCCACTTTTGTTTTGGTCCATATAAAAAAAATGTTCTCTCTACTTTATGACCTTCCCAGAAAACAGACAAACACACTTATACACAAAAGTCAAACTGTATGGTTCTTGCCTGACAGATGTCCAGGTGGCTGGCCTTCTGGGAGTTCAATATTCCAGGGTAAAGAGAAAAAGAGGAGATGCCCATTTTATCTCACAAATGATCCCAATGACCACAGAGGATTATTGTCCACCAACTAGGCAGGGAGGAAGCATGTCTATAAATCTACTGAACCAATTGGAGTTGAGAAGATCACTGCCCTGTCCTAGTCATCCTTTGAGGTGCTCTAAATGTCCACATTGAGTGTTTTGTGCTGGAGAAAAGGGGCAAGACCACTTCCAAATTGGAACAACTAAAGACAGCTTAAATTGCCTCATAAAATTGATTGCGGATGAGATTGAGATTCTGTCATGAGAACAGGTCCCTCAGAAATGCTTATAAAAACATCTTTGTGCTGCAGCAAAGATGACATGAGGATGAACTCAATGTAGATACCTTCACCATGCTTATTATCAATCAAGCACATAGCCCCCTGATTTTAAGCAAATAACAACCTATAAAATCTTTAAGATTCTGGTTGAAACTCCTATTTTTGAAATAATATTCAGCCAATGCATGAGAGCAAATACTCTTGAATAAAATAGAATTTATTTCCGGATAAGCATATAAAGAAATGTACAGTCTGCCATTTTCTTGTACGTCCATGGGAGCCAACTGGGATTCTTACCATCTAGGAAGCACCATCTAGGAGATAGTCTCTGAACAGACAATACTCTTGGGATTGAGCTTTCCTGGTCCTAGATGGGACAGAAAGAAAACGCCATTTTCAACAGAAGTTTGATAAAAGCAAGTGAATATAACAATACCACAGCACATATTGCAGCTTTTGTAAGGCAAAGCTCTTCCTAGGTCTAGTTATTAACCTTCCCAAAAAAGATTGATAAGGACTCCTGTCTGAAATCCACGCAGTTCTGAGCCAAGGAGGAATAATAGTGTGACCCATAATAAGGCAACATTACTCAGGGAAGAATTTTTCTGTCAGTTTATATATATATATTCAGTCAAGGCTGACCCAAAATGATAGACAGGCATCCCTGAATTCACTCAGGGTGGCTTCTGCTAACCAGCTGCCCTGTGCAGTCACTGGCTTATCCAAGTATTGATTTGATTTCCCATTTGATTCGAGGCTGCAATGAAACTATTCTCAGTTTTATCAAAGGGTGGAAATCTGTCAAACATGCCATGCCATGATGGATGACTGCTTGGTTACTGTGCTTGCCATATTGCTAAACAAGTATTAGCAAGCCCTGCCTCCCTTTTCGAAAAAGGTTTCTTTAAAGGAAAAAACACTGATCTCACTATGAATTCACAAGAGAAAAATAGCAGAAGAGCTATGAAATGTCGCTTTATGGCCAATTAAGCCTTTTAAAAGTCCTTTTGCTTTCAACTATTCCATCACATAATGTGATGACCCAGGGCATGGCACAAAGGCAATACAGTCAGATAATCAGTAGGAGTCCCTTTATTAGCTTCAACTTTGCCCCCTATGTCCTGGTTACCTTCTGGCTAGAGAAAAACTCTCCCAGGAACAGCCTTTGGCTGCAGAGAATCAAGTCCAAAACATGGTCAACAAAAACTGTAACTACTGTATAAGTCCAATCAAGGCAAAATGGGGTAATTAATCCAACAGGGCAGGAACAAGACTTCCAGACATGAAGGCATGACAACAACTCAACACGGTTGGGAAGATGCCAGGAGCACAGATAATCAAACACAAGATAAACTCACGTTTGCTCCCAGCAGCTGTTGCACTCAGCATGAATTTCTTTTAAACTCTAATTCCCGGGTGTGACTAATGAAGGGAATCAGAGCCTTTTCCTCCCCCATAAGCTACGCAATCCACGTTGCTCTCTTTTCCATACCTCCCTGCGTGCCCTAGGGTGAAGAGGGGATGGGCCTGGGTCTTCCTCTGAACTCCCTCTCCCTTGTTCTACCTCTTCCCTGCTCTGCCCAGCCAGACTTTGCCCTTCCCCAGTTTCCTCCATAGCCAATGGAGCCACACTCCCACTCCCTCTCAGCTGTTCATCTTCCTTCTCGGATTCAGATTCCGACAGGGGCATGACACATATTATCAGGATAAACCAGTATAAATGTTTGATTTTAATGTCTGTCTTCTAGATACTGCACTGAGAAACTTATACAAAAGATAGAGCATTAGCCTATATGACATACAGTTTGCAGTTCATTATAAATTCCAACTCAGTTGAATGGGCAGAAAGGACCATGGCCAGAAATACGCAGAAATATGCAAATACCATATGGACTGCGATAAGACTCCATAAATAACTATGTCCCTGGCACAGCCTGGTATTCTTGATATACAGCAAGCTCATATTTTTTTCTTCAGTCAATTTCAGAGCCAACCTATGATGTGAGTTAGATGTTCCTCAGCTGAAATTCTTCATCTCAAATTTCAGATGAGCACACTGATGCTCATTAGCTTGGCATTTGGGTCTTTAATAGCTTCCCTTTTGTCCCAGGAGGAACACTAAGATTCCTTTTCTTAGCCCTTACCCCTGAGCTTGAATTATGTTATCCAATAACATTCCCTTTATTACACCTGATAGAATGTAAATTATGCTTCAGATACCAATTACAGAGATTTAAAGATACTATAGTTTCATAAACAACAAAAAAAAGTCTTTATGTTGCTTTGGTAGGAACTATTCCTATTGTAAAATCCTATATTCCCTTCTCATACAGAATCTACCAAAGATGTGAAATCATAGAATTGGCAGGGGGACAGATAGACAATCAGGTTTAACACCTGCTGGGTGCAGGAATCCAAATTAAAACATTTAAAGATGGCTGCCCAGCCATTGGTTGAAAATATACAGATGGTCCTCAACTTACAACCACAACTGAGCCCAAAATTTGTTAAGCAAGATATTTGTTAAGTGAATTTTGCCCCATTTTATGACCTTTCTTGCTAGTTGCTAACTTAGTTGATAAGTTAGTAGCTGATAAGTTAGTAATTCATTAAGTGAATCTGTCTTCCCCATTGACTTTGCTTGTCAGAAGGCTGCAAAAGGTGATCACATGATCTTGGGACAAAGCAACAGTCATAAATATGAATCAGTGGCCAAGCACCTGAATTTTGATCACATGATGATGTGGATGCTAGAAAGGTTGTAAGCGTGAAAAATGGTCATAAATCACTTTTTTTCAGTGCCGTTGTAACTTTGAATGGCCAGTAAACGAACTGCTGTAACTAAGTTGAGGACTATCTGTGCAGTGAAATAGAGTTCATATCTATTTTGTTAATTAGTGTAACCAACAAACATCTCTGCCCTAATATTAAATTTCTCTTAATATTCTAGTGGTAGGATTATCCCGTGTGTCTTCCGTTCTAGAATGAGAGGAAATATACGATCCTCTTTAGAAATGCGAAAGTGCCATCACATCCCTTCTCAACTGTCTTTTCTGAAAACTAAGTATCTCTAATTCTTTCAGAGGTCCCTTTCATACTGAAATGAACCAGAGATTAACCCTAGCAAAACGTCAAGGGGCAAGGAATTCCAGAAAAACGTCCTTATCTTTGAAATCCAAACAAAACAATGAAGCATAAAAATAACTTCCATTCCAAATGAAAAGTCAAAAATTTGAATTGTATTCAGAAAGCTGAAGGGCCTACTTTCAGATCTAGCAAAGACATTCATTGTAGGAGGAGAGGCATGTCAAACATCATTTGAGAATTGTGATGCTTCTCTATATCATATATGTGTGTGTATGTGGGTATATACTGTACATAATGATTATCCTTTAGCTGAATGCAAAGACATTTCATTTTAATGTATGCTGATTAGTGTACATTTAAAGTGACAATAAAGATTCTGTTCTGTTCTATTTTATTCTGTTTCATTTCTATTCTATTCTATTCTGTGACAACAACAAAAATCAGAAGTCTGGTAGTATCTTTTCCAGCTAATGAATTTGGTTAATAGGCATAAGCTTCTGTAAGCTGCAGGTGTATTGTGTGGCATGACTGATGTAGGATTTTAGGTGGGACAAGGAAACAGGGAAGAGGCTGATTATACAGACGCAGGTTACATGTGAGATAGTTTAGCAGTTCAATAGAGATATGCCAAGTTTCTTTGTCTATGAGGCAAGTTGAATGAACCAAGACTGCCTAATCAAAACCACATTATAAACCAATATTCCCCAAGTTATTATGTGTTGTGTTCAGATGTATGAACATCTGGAGTGTGAATCCTGAGAGTTGCTGCCCAAGCACATCTGGAAAAGATCATATTGCAGCAAGTTGATATAAAATTTTGACACATTTATTTTATAGACTAAAAATACTCTAGTGAGATGCTGAACTATTTCAGATATTATTGATTGGGGGTGGGGGTATACTGCTATAAAAATACTGCAGAAAGCTGACATTCACAACAGGATTTCTTATTCCACTGAATATGTTCTACTAAAGCAAGGAAAAAAGACTTTTTATAAGAACACAGACACTCTCTTCTTTGTCTCAGATTCTCTTGCAGGAGTGAATGTATGTGTATTTGAAAATGTACAGCAGAGCATGATACAGACAGAAAGTTCATAAAGAGATAATAAGAGAATGGCGCTTTAGGCCAAATCAGATAAAAATGCAACTCAGAGCATTAGTTGAGATAATATTTAACATGCCTGCTGTGCAGACAATGTTCAAAAAAATAATCATTTAAATTGGGAATGCAAACTAAAACTACTGTAGAGCATCTTATGCACTGATCTGGGAATGTTATACAACAAACATTTGGTATTTCTTTGCATTGTGTTTAGTCACAAACTTTACAAAATAATTCCCCATCCATAAGAGCATCTTTCTCCAAGACCAAGAGTCTTGGTCACTTGAGAATGTGATGCTACAATTTTTAAGAAATCAGAAGAAATAATTTTGGTAAGGTAGGGCAAAGGACTAGTTCACATATTTTGAAGGAGAGGCATCATGAATGCCTGTGTATATTGAGATAACATGAACTGATCCATATGAGGCTTCCAGTTCCGAAAACTGAAAAGAATGCATAGATCCTATTCTCATTACAACATTTCTTTCTAAGATGCTGGACTTTATTTTTCCCTTCTGCTTATCTATGCAGTGATAGAATGGGCAAAGGGGCAAAGCTGAAGATCTCCATACATTGTATATTATATAGCTACCCTCAAGCCTAAACATTGACCATAGAGATTGAGCCTGATTAAAGTTGAAGATAAGGAGGCACTGGAAGGCAATAAATATCATTATGAGCCATGGTGGTGCAGTGGTTAGAGTGCTGCAAGCTACTTCTTCTGACTGCTGTCTGCCTGCAATTTGGCAGTTCAGATCTGACCAGGCTCAAGGTTGACTCAGCCTTCCATCCTTTCAAGGTCAGTAAAATGAAGACCCAGATTGTTGGGGGCAATAGGTTGACTCTGTAAACTGCTTAGAGAAGTCTGTAAAGTATTGTAAAGAGGTATATAAATGTAAGTGCTATTGCTACAGCTATATAGGAATGACAGTTCTGTCTTATGTCCAAGGATATTTACCCATATAGTATGGCTATATTATCCTTCTCAGCTTTTCTACTACCTTCTCCTTTTGATATTTTATGATTATTTTACTTTGCTGTTTGTATGTACAAAGAACATTTGTTCTTTGTATGTACATATTGTTTGTATGTACACTTATATTATCTTGTTGTTTATATGGCCAATAAAGCTATTCTATTCTATTCTATTCTATTCTATTCTATTCTATTCTATTCTATTCTATTCTATTCACAACAACAAAAATCAGAAGAAGTCTGGTAGTATCCCCTCCCTCCAGGGGTGGGATTCTACCAGTTCGCACCTATTCACTAGAGCCAGTTGTTAACTGGAGAACAGTTCGGAGAACAGTTCAGAGAACCAGTTGTTAGAAGAAATTACTGGCCTAATCCTGTAAGAAAGGCAGGAAGGAAAGTGTTGCTTACAAAAACTGCCTCTTTGTTAACCTTTATTACATTCTTGGCAGGACTAGACTTCCTGTCTCAGGAATGTCTCTGGAGTTTTTTTCCCCTCCTTTGCTGGTACGTTGCTTGTGTGGAGTGACCATTCAAAGTTACAATGGCACTGAAAAAACTGACTTATGACCATTTTTCACACTTAAGACTGTGTGTTGCAGCATCCCCACAGTCATGAGAGGCCAGGGGAGGAGATAGGTGCCTTGATGTGAGTGATATTGAGTTGGCCACACCCAGCCAATAACATGACCACCAAGCCATGTCCACCCAGTCACATGGCCACCAAGCCACGCCTACCACCTAAGCCACACCCACAGAACTGGTTGTTAAAAATTTGAATCCCACCCCTGCCTCCCTCCCTTTCTTTTTTTCCCTAAAAGGAACAAAATTAATGTTACCTGGTAGTGGACTCTCTGTGTTGTTGAAGATACAGACTGCAAATCCTATAGCAAGAAAGTTCCAATGGAAACAGTGATTAACTAAAGCTCATTTCATCCACCTTCCTATTCAAAATTAAATTGTTCATCAATTCTTTCCTGGCTATTACAATAGCAATAATGACAACACAAAACAATCACACATGAGAGCCAAAATAAAACTGAAATTAATATTATTCAAGGATTTTGCTGCCAAGTGCTGAATTACAGATAATTTAGTCTAAAATAGCCTGATATTTTCCAATTGCCCCCAAGACCTATGAACCAAGAACAGTATTTGATTTCTATATAAAGAGATTTAGAATGTTTATCTGGTGATCAGATCTTCTGCCTTTTCATATTTCCCTAGGGCCCTAGACAGAAGCAGATCATTGTCACTCATGGATGAAGGAAATGCTCACTTTGTATATAGCAGTTATTGTCTTTTCCTGTGGCTGAGTTAAGTAGCCAGCTAACCTTGAGTAGGGAGAAAACTATGCCATAGTGATATTTACTGCCTTCATTGCTAATCCTTATCTTGCCTCTATTAGATCTGTTCAGGTCACTGATGGATGATGTTCTCATTATGCATTTAAGAACATAATTTGTCAATTCCTTCAGTTTTGGTGTCCACTCTATCAGCACATGTTTACCCATGAGAAAGTTATTTGCCAATGACAGCACTACAGGAACTGCTGATACAGTTCTACAGAGGAATTATTGAGTCTGTCATCTGTACCTCTATAGCTGTCTGGTTTGGCTCTGCAACCCAACAAGACAGACACAGACTCCAGAGGATAATTAGGACTGCAGAAAAAACAAATACTAGCAACCCTCCTTCCATTGAGGACCTGTATACTGCACGAGTCAAAAAGAGAGCTGTGAAAATATTTACAGATCTCTCACATCCTAGACATAAACTGTTTCATCTCCTACCCTCAAAAATGATGCTATCGAGCACTGCACACCAGAACAACTAGACACAAGAACAGTTTTTCCCCGAATGCCATTACTCTGCTAAACAAATAATTCCCTCAACACTGTTCAACTTTTTACAAAGTCTGCACTACTATTACTATTAATCTTCTCATCACTCCTTATCACCCATCCCCTCCCACTTGTGACAATATGACCGTAACTTTGTCACTTGTATCCTTACTATTTTTATTGATTGTTTCCTAGTATGATTTGATTGCTTATTGTACCCTATGACTATTATTATGATTCTTGATGAATGTATCTTTTCTTTTATGTACACTGAGAGCATATGCACCAAGACAAATTCCTTGTGTGTCCAGTCACACTTGGCCAATAAAGAATTCTATTCTATTCTACAGAAGGAATGGGGAGAATCTGACAGCCAGGCATCTCGTGTCCCTATTTCCCCCACCCTATCCTGTCACTGACTAGAAAGAGCTTCAGAAGAAGGTTGCCGGTGTATCCAAGCTGTGTTGTGTGAGATGTGGGAACAGGGGAAACAGGGAAAGAGGGTAAAAGAAAAAAAACTTCTCTTGCAAGAGCTTTAGCCAGTGGGGAGGGGAATGAAATCATCCATCATCCATCTATACACTTAGTGCCAAGCTTTCTAGAATCACAAAGCGAGAAATGAAATTAATGGGGCTCTGAAAGTGAGGTTTTGACAAGTCATGTCTATCTAAAAAGAAATTGTTTCAAACTTCCTTTTTTTTTGAGTCCTAAACCATAAAATGTCACGCTGGAGTTTGAAATTTACTTCCAAATACTTATAACTGAAAAGAAAGAAGACCAGACATAATTTCTTTCATTTTGAAGAGGCATGGCAAACTTCTTTTTTTCCTAGTGTTTTTCCAACTCTTGTTGGTTCAGTCTTAAAAATTGTACCACCAAAGATCTCAATAATCTTGGTGACCATTTGGACTGTTTCTGCCAACCATACGCTCAAGGATTTTAAATGTTGTGTCACTGTGTCCAGATTTTTAAGATCTGTTTAACAATAGAAAAGGCTGACGACCCTAGGGAGACATGATAGCACTCTTTCAATGTTTGAGGGGCTCCTACAAAGATGAGGAGGTCAAACTATTTTCCAAAGCACCAAAAAGCAAGACAAAAAACAATGGTTGGAAACCAACCAAACAGAGAAGCAACCTAGAAACAATCTAGAAGCAATCTAGAAAAATTGTACATAGAACAATATAAGACCTCTGAAAAGTGTAAGCATACATATGTACTCAGTACTTGGTTTGGGCCCCTTTCGCAGCAATTACTGCCTCAGTGCGGTGTGGCATGGAAGCTATCCGCCTGTGGCACTGCTGTGGTGTTATAGAAGACCAGGATGTTTCAATAGCGGCCTTCAACTCTTCTGCATTGTTTGGTCTCATGCCTCTCATCTTTCTCTTGCCAATGCCCCATAGATTCTCTATGGGGTTCAGGTCAGGTGAGTTTGCTGGCCACTCAAGCACAATAATCCCACGGTCATTGAACCAGGTTTTAGTGCTTTTGGCAGTGTGGGCAGGTGCCAAATCCTGCTGGAAAATGAAGTCAGCATCCCCATAAAGCTCATCTGCAGAAGGAAGCATGAAGTGTTCCAAAATCTCCTGGTAGATGGCTGCGTTGACCCTGGACTTAACGAAGCACAGTGGACCAACACCAGCAGATGACATGGCTCCCCAAATCAACACAGACTGTGGAAACTTCACACTGGACTTCAAGCATCTTGCAGTGTGTGCCTCTCCATTCTTCCTACAGACTCTGGGTTCTTGGTTTCCAAATGAAATGCAAAAGTTGCTCTCATCAGAAAAGAGGACTTTGAACCAAAGAGCAACAGACCAGTTCTGTTTTTCTTTAGCCCAGGTAAGATGCTTCTGTTTGTTGTTCAGGAGTGGCTTGACAAGAGGAATATGACATTTGAAGCCCATGTCCAGGATCCGTCTGTGTGTGGTGGATCTTGATACAATGACTCCAGCCTCAGTCCATTCCTTGTGAACACTTTTGAATGGCCTTTTCCTGACAATCCTCTCCAGGCTGCGGTCATCCCTGCTGCTTGAACACCTTTTTCTTCCACACTTTTCCCTTCCACATAACTTTCTATTAATGTGTTTTGATACAGCACTTTGGGAACATCCAACTTCTTTTGCAATTACCTTTTGAGGCTTTCCTTCCTTATGGAGGGTGTCAATGAATAGTTTTCTGCACAACTGTCAGGTCAGCAGTCTTTCCCATGATTGTGATTCCTACTGAACCAGGCTGAGAGACCATTTAAAGGCTCAGGAATCTTTTGCAGGTGTTATGGCCTTATTAGCTGATTAGAGTGGGACACTTTGAGCCTAGAATATTGAACCTTTTCACAATATTCTAATTTTCTGAGATTGTGGATTTGGGGTTTTCATGAGCTATAAGCCATAATCATCACAATTATGACAAATTGAGGCTTGAACTATCTTGCTTTGCATGTAATGAGTTTATCTCATATATTAGTTTCACCTTTTAAGTTGCATTACTGAAATAAATGAACTTTTGCACGATATTCTAATTTTTCGAGTTTCACCTGTAAGTGCTGTTGATATTGCTACATGTCCTTCAACCTTTTGGCACTGTACTGAAAGTGGACTGTGGCAAATGCAGAAGAAGAAGCAATCAGCATGCCTGCAATGATTAGTATGCTAGCAATTGTGGCGGAGAATCTTAACTCATGAAATAGTGGTAGGTTAGGAGTTAACAATCAAATCGTCAATCTCCAGAGTATCATAAGCAAGTGATTTTTATGGGAATTCTCTTGAGTTGCTTAGCCTTCAGATATATTAGTCTGATTAACTTTCTTTGCTTTTGATCTGTCCTTTGGCACATTTTGGTCCAAATGGAATTCATTTGTACCAGTGGTGGGATTCTATTTTTGTTACTACCAGTTCTGTGGGCATGGCTTGGTGGGCGCAGCAGGGGAAGGATAGAGTAAAATTTCCATTCTTTCCTCACTCCTGGGGGAAGGTTACTGCAAATCCCATTCCCTCCCCATCCCACTAGCCTGCTTTCCTGCTCCATTCTCCTGTGCAGGGCAAAAAAAGAAGACCCAGCCAATCAGCTGGGACTCGGGAGGCAGAGAATAGATGGGAGTGGATTCAGTCAGAGGTTGTATTTGCTGGTTCTTTGAACTCCTCAAAATTTCCACTACCGGTTCTCCAGAATTGGTCAGAATCTGCTGAATACCGCCTCTGATTTGTACCTTGTATCCTTGCACAATGATATCCTTGTACAAGTCTAATATATTCTAAATGCAACCATGTCCATTTTCATCTACTCACCTCCTCTAAGCGATCCACATAGATGCGACAAGTCTCCAAGTCACAATCTCCTCGGACAACTATAATTCCCAGTGGAATAGCTATAGATGCATAATGATAATAACAATAAAAATGAATGATGTTAAAACGTGTCACCACAAAGTTGTGCATGATGCATACAGTATATAAGACCTGAAGTGAAGGGGATATAGAAAAGTATCCTTCCATTTTATTCCTGGTGACTCAAGGACAATTCTATGTTGTTTTCTAGGGAGCAATACAGAAGGAGGTTGTCCTCTTTTAACTTCCCAGTTTAGTCTAGAGCCTCAGCGTTGCCTGAATACTCATGAGCCCCAACCCAATTTAATTTCTGAACCCAGACAAGATCAGCCAGGTGCTACCACCTGCTGAGATGAAGAAACTATGTAATTACTGCTCATCTTAAAAATGTTATTAGAATATATGTAGCCTGTCAAAAAGTTAGTCAATTATACTTAATGGTATTTAATTTCAGCAGAGTGGGATTGCAGAGGCACAAGTAAAGATGCACCTCTCCTGTTAGATGCCAAACTAAAATGAATAGTAAACCCTCAAACTTCCCCATGGGCGAAAAAATCTTCTAGGCCCCCTAAGTGCTTTCTCAGAAAGGAATAGTATAGGGGGAGAATGAATAGTATTGGAGGAGAATAGTATAGGAAGGAGACCCACTTCTCCCCCCACAAAAAAATATAATTGCCATCCATCATTTACAAAAACATTTTGTGACTAGCTCAACTGTTCCAAATTTTCTCCTCAAAGTGGCCCTCTGGCATGGTTTGCTGACAAATTTTAAGTAATGTGCTGATGTTGTAGGCATATCCCTTAACATACCACCCATGAGGAACTACCCATGAGGATAAGTGGAATAACAGAGAGGTCCAGTTCTTCTGGCGTAGTAAGGAAGACATTTATTTCCCTGCCAGAAAGCCTGGACGTAAATCTACATTTCCAAAAAAGAAAGAGAATTGTTCTGATCCATAAATTCTAATGAAGTTTGCTTATATTTTCCTTATTAAAATGTGTCAATTTGAGGGTATGTTCTCATTGGGAAAACTTGGGGAATATTATGCTGAAACAAAGCAACCATTCCACTTCAACAAAATACTGTTGGCAGGAATGGGAAAATCCTAAATTGCATTAACAGAGGGATACAATCAAGATCAAGGGAGGTACTAATACCACTCTATAAAGCCTTAGTAAGAGACCACACCTAAGATACTGCATCCAGTTTTGGTTACCTTACTAGAAAAAAGACATTGAGACCCATGGTGGGATTCAAAAAATTTTACTATGGGCATGGCTTGGTGGGCCTGGTGTGGCAAGGCTTGGTGGATGTGGCAGGGGAAGGATACTGTAAAATCTCCATTCCCTCCCCACTCCAGGGGACGGATACTGTAAAATTTCCATTCCCTCCTCACTCCTGGGGGAAGGATACTGCAAAATCCCATTCCCTCCCCACTCCCACTAACCTGCTTTCCAGCTCCGGTCTCCTGTGCAGGGCAACAAAAGAAGACCCAGCCAATCAGCTGGGACTTGGTAGGCAGAGAATAGATAGGGGTGGGGCCAGTCAAAGGTGGTATTTTCCAGTTCTCCAAACTATTCAAAATTTCCGCTACCTGTTCTCCAGAACTGGTCAGAGCCTGCTGAATACCACCTCTGGTTGAGACTTTAGAAAGAGTACAGAGAAGAGCAACCAAGGAGGACTGGAGGCTAAAACATACGATGAACAGTTGCAGGAATTTGGCATGGCCAGTCTAATGAAGGACCAGGGGAGACATCATAGCAGTCTTCCAATATTTGAGGGGTTGCCACAGAGAGGAGGGGGTCAAGCTATTTTCCAAAGCACCCTGAAAGCCAGACAAGGAATAATGGATGGAAATTGAACAAGGAGAGTTTCAACCTGGAAATAAGGAGAACTTTTCTGACAATGAGAACAATCAACCAATGGAACAGCTTGCCTTCAGAAGTTGTGGAAGCTCCATCTCTTTGAGGCTTTCAAGAAGAGACTGGACTGCCATCTGTCAGAAATGTGGGGGAGGAGGATTGGACTAAATGCCCTACAAGGTCCCTTCCAATTCTGTTAATATGTATTAATACTAAACAAAAGGTACAAAAGGTACAAATCTTGTGTGTGTTTTAGGGATTAAGGTTAGACCATGCTTGAAAGAAGCCTTTACCAAATTCTTTATACTTTCATCCTTTTGGCCTTCCTATCATCAAGAGATTTTAGCTGGTTAGTGCTTTAGAGATAGCATACATTGATGTTCACAATTGGAGGCTTAGTCTGGAAACAACTAATTTAATGTTCATACTGCCCCCATTAGCTATACTCTGAGTAATCTTCTCAGGTTTGGCTAAACATACTTTCTGCCAGAGGAAAATAGTAGGTGGCAAAAAAAAGAAATATGAATTGGTTGTAAAGTGCTCTGGAATTATTAAACAATGGAAAGATAGTGATACAAACAGCCACTTTGAGCAATGCATTGAGGCTTTTGGAACAGAATAAAATGATGAAACGACATAGTTAGAAGCATCTGTAGAAGGAAACTCAGGATCTAGTGACAAAACGTATGTCATGACACCATGACTCCAAATACTGTAACATTGGGACCCAGTGCATGAGAGCAAGATTTACACCACCATGTTATTGCAAGTGTAGCATTGAAAATGAAAAGCCAGACAATATTTTTAGAGGATGCATTAGTTGTTAAGTCATACTGTATCTATTGCACATGTACTGATTTGGAATTCTGGAAGTTATCATCTTAATATATCAGGAAGCCAGTAGGGTTAGAAATTGTCCTTGTGGATCATGTCTCCCTTGTGGTGTCTGCTTAGATTGTATGACTGCTTAGATTGGGCAGACTATTGAACTACACGTTTTCTTCTCATCTAGCACACCAGTAATTTCTTACAATATTAATGGCCTGATGCTAATATTTCTGCAGTTGCTGAGAAGTTTTCCCATTAATTTCACAGGATAATGGATAAAAACGTCTCTGCCTGAAACCCCTCACCATCTCAACTGAGGAAACAAAGAATCAAAAACAAAACATAATTCTAGAGATAATACCACAATAATTAATTGTCACATTGAATTAATGGTGTAAAATCAAAAGAAGAGGTTAGCTGAGCCTGCAAACACAGTGGATGCTAACTTTTCAAAATGAAGTCTCTTTCCCACTGACACACACTGAGTCATTAATCAATGCACAATATGGCTCCTGGAGATAAGGGTTTAATGGAGTCTTGTTCGTCCATCTGGCTCATTATTCATATTCAATTACAAAGACGGCCGTTTCTTATGTAACCATGCTGCAGAATATGGGGTTCCCTAGGAATTATTGGATGACAACCCTTCTAATAGGTTTGCTTATCTTTGAGCAAAAAGATGATTATTCTGAGTAGGCAGCATTCCGTTCCCCAACATTCCCATATCTTTATCCATTGCTTATTTTCCAACTGATTGATGATATTTTTCAGGGAGAATATAGATTCCACTAAGAGCACTTGCTCCAGCTCCTGATGCTGATTGTCACTCAGCAAATGAAAGGTTTCATCACAGCTTTGCAGAACATTCTTTACAAAGATAATTACTAGGATTTCTGGGAAGTATACATTTTGCTTAAATTATAATAACACACTTCTACAGCCTGTTGGGGAATAAATGATAACTTGAAGTATGTTAGGCAGAATTTTTCACTGGAGGAAAGTCATTTGCCTGTGGGCAAAATGCTAAAAGCTCTGGCACAGCAACAAAAGAGTTTATACATGTCTTCAACTTGGTGTCCTTCTTGAAGAATACTGCCGCCATTACAGTGAGCCAGCTGGAAGATCATTCCTGTCACAGAATATTGTGACAGGCATGAGCTACTTTGAACCTTCTTCTCCCATGATCTGTCATCCCTCTTTTCCCCTCACTTCCAGTGCAACCGAGTTTTTGTTTCTGTTTTTATTGACTATACTTGTCATCCCTCACCCACAGCTATGGTTACTTGAACTCTATGTTGTTTGATCCAAGTCTAAAATGGGGGATATGAATAAGCTGATTGTTTTCATCCAATCACAGATAAATATAACCACAGGTTAGAGTTTGGATGCAAAGTTCTTCTCAAAAAAACCCTATGTAATTTTGAAAGTCAGTATGATTTGATCTCTTCAGATCAAAACTACTCAGCTAAATTCATTGAGGATGCCCTGACTTTTGTCCTACAGAGATAAGATCAGTTTCCCAAATTGGGAGATTTCTTTTTATATCCATATTTCAAACTTTCCAATCTAAATGAACAATAAGCTATTGAAATCAGAACATGGAGAATAGTTAAAGAATAAGTGATTTTATTAATCTCTTCAAAATATTGCAATGAACCCATTTAAGATTTCTTTCTGGAGCTAAATCTCCATGATGAACAGTAAATACTACAATGCTAACTTGGATTATTCCAAATCAGTGTAAATTAATTTCCATTCTCATTCTATTTGTGGTCTCACTTAACTGGATTTTCTCCCTTATGTAACTGTCAACTCATCATGTACAGCCAAAAAAAGATTGATATCAACTCCACTAGAGGTAGACAATCTATTTTAAAATCTTTCTGATGACATTCTGCCCTTTGAAGGAAACAACCTTCATGTATATCTGTTGCTTCTTCGTTTTCTCAATCATTTTTGTATAGGGATATAGACAACTACATGATAGTAAACACCATACACTGTAATCACTGATTAGCAACACTCATTTAAGTGGTACTTGTATGCTGCATTTATGCATATAAGTATCTGATGATTACTGAACTTATGCCCTGCCTTTTTTGTTTATTCCAGTATTCATAATGGGTTATATTAACAGAAAATACAAAGGATGGAACAAAATATATATATAAACCTTGCTGTACTATAGAAAAACTATAGAAAGGTCCAGGAAGTCACCAGGATTCAAACTTGACTTAAGAAAATTTTAATGCCAGTTTCCAATTTCTTGCTATTTGGAAAAGTTAGAAAAGAAAGAAATCTTGCAGATTGTCATACTATTTAAAATCTCCTGTTCAGACATAATACCTGAAGACAGTAATTGTTTGTAAAATCAGAAGCTCAGAAACTTTAAATGAAAATTGTACTCTTGATAGTTAGGAAAATAACTTTTTAAAATAAAAATGACTCCTTTCAATTGTTCTGCAAATACATTTCTACAGGATGGGCTTTTTAAAAACATTATTTCCCCCACTGTGGTTTTATTGTTGCAAAATAAATGATTGCTATATATATACAACATTCATTTGTACGACCTCTCTTCATATGCAGAGGCTGATGAGTTTCTGATTTTAAAAAGGAATAAATGCAAGCCACATTTCATGTGATGGAAATCTCCCAGGCTCTGCAAAAGTAGAAGATTTCAAAAGTTTCCAATGAAATTTATGGCAAAATCCTTTTTTATATCTCTTAAAATAACAACCCGTTTTAAAAGGTGACTTTGGTACAAACAGACAAAAACACTCCCCAGCATTTATCTCCTGAAAACTTTTTTGAAGGCAACTTTTACAATGACTTGGCTTCTGTGAAGCATGAAAGAAAAACCACCCCTTCTGGCAATTTGTTCACACACAAAATTGCAGAATGAAATGTCCCATACATGGGGCGTACTTCACAGACAAAAAAAAACCCACTTTAAAAAAAAACTTACAAACTTCCCGGAGTTTTTCCTTGTCATAATGCAGTCCCTCGTAATCTTGCAAGCTAATCCTATTCACTCTGATTCTCAGACGATCCGGAATGGCGTGGGGGCTACAAGGAAATACAGCAATTCCATCAGTAATTAATTCCAGCTCCAGTCCAATACAGGTTCTGAAAAGGAAAGAATCTGATTTTCCCAAAATGAATGAAGAAGAACGGGAACAGGAGGGGGAAAAAAAACATGCCTTAGCCAAATCAAATTCCACCGGCACCTCTCTGCCAATCTCAAGATACAGGATGGTTGTGAAACAATGGCTGCCTATTGATTTGAGAAATGGTATAAGTTTCCGGAATGAACTCAAAAGTTAAGCTCAGTTGCTTCCATTGTAAATTGATCTATGTTGCCCATATGTTAAGATATTCACAGAGGGTTTTTTGTGGGTAGCCCCCAGACCCAAGCATATTAGGGGAGGAAGGGCATCCTTTACCTGTGCCTGGAGAACCAGGAGAATCCAGCCCAGGCTGCCACCTAGTGTCATGAAGGGATAAAAAGATTCTGCTTGAGGATACTGTTCTGACCCAGGCTTCGTAAACCACAAATATTCACAAATTTGTTTTAAAAACAAAACCTATTTTATTATATTAACTGGAAAAGAAACCAACCGAAGTACAAAAAAACTAACCGAAGTACAAAGAGCTTCAAGGATGACTTGGAACCGATCAAATTACTTTGCTTCCTGCAAAGATTTCATCATCTTGGCCTGACTTTTGTACCTATATGGAAGAGGAATCACCTCCCAGTCTCATTCCCAACTCGCCCCTTTTGTTTCAGTTGCTCTCACCTTCTAGCAGCTCTACGCACACATGCACTGGGAACAGGCTCCCCTGGGTCCTCTGCCTTGCCGTTGCCAGACTCCCAAGGCTCTGAAGGCATCACCCCACTCCCAGATGGTCCTGGCCCCATCTCTGCATCAGACGCAGGACCCTCATCTGAGGCCTCTCCAGACTTCCTGATTGGTTCTTCCCCACTGTCCCATTCCACTGCCCTCTGCACTGGCTACCAGTGAACCACAACAGATATTTTCAGAAAATCAATTCACTTTCGTTATGAATTATGAAGTGACTGTCAAATTTGTGCAGCGTTTCTATTCATGGAAAGTCCCATACGGTACTACTGCTGTACTACTGCCAATATAAGCCTTCCATAAAACCAGAAGACCAGAAAGAGCAAAATCTAGAACAGTAGGTAGCCCAGGTCAATCTGTAAAACAAAGTAGGGTGCTTCTGCAGTCAGACTGATAGATTTGGAAAGAAAGATTTAGTTTCACCCTGAGCAACACATTCTTCTAAGATCTACCATTGCCATACAAAAAGAAGCTCAAAGTACCACAGTATTTAGGAATGAGAATAATGATGGTAATAATCATAATCATCCTTTAAAACTGGGTTTCTTGTACTTCTAAAATGTTGACATTGGAATGAAATACTGTTTGGATGGTGCTTTACTAAGATTAACCAAAAAGAAACAAAACCGTATTTTGGCTTTCCAGGACCCTGAGGAAAAAGGTTTGAGGTTTGATTGAAAGGGGACAAAGGAAAAGGAGAGAACAAGAACTCCAATCCCAGGAGAGGGAGAGGTTAATATCACAAAAAAAAATATGACCAGGTGATCAAAGTTCTGGTCATTTTTGATGCTTACAGAAATTAGCAGTAAGTCTAACACTTGGGAATGTCAACATTTTGACATCATTGATCAACCCTGCAGATATTCCTGTACTCATCATATTTAGCATTATGATTCCCCAATTTTGAATGGGGTGAGGGACAGAGAGAATGTAGGCCTGTAAATGTTTTAATGTGAATAAACTGATCTTGGATGGATGTGAGAAATAGTTATGTCCTATCGTCCAGAATTTCTTTCTTTAAGAACCAAACTAAATGCAAATAAGCAAGGAGTGATAATCACCATATTCCTTATTTTCTATATATCAACAGTTAGGAACCTAAGGCTTTTGTGTTTAAGAATGTAGAATGCATTTTCTAAAGCAATCTACTCAGAAATGTATTTTACATTCAATGGATTCTTATTGCCATGTAAGAAAGAATATGCTAAATCAATTTCACATAAATTTACCAAGCTTTAAATCTGACTAAACACAATGAAGATTATTTCCAAGCAGCCATAAATGGATTTTCTGTCTTTGTCAGGTTTTAAATTCGTTTGGTTCTCTCTCTGCATCGGTTTCATATCATTGCTTTCAAATTACATGACAATTTGTCATTTGATTCCATTTGTGTATATTTGCCTAGTCTTTGTATTTTATTATTTGCTTAGTGCAAAGATCACTTTTGGCAGAAATTGTCCTTGCTATATCTACTTTCAACTAAATTTACACCAAGTAGTACTTATACCTCAATAAAGAGACAATCTCTACCCTTGGATTTAAAATCTAAGAAAAATACAATGCAAACGTGAGAAAAGGTGATGGGGCAGGGAGGAAAATAAGAAGAATCAAGTCACTATTACTGATACTAAAACTGTCTTAATCTTTCCCTGTGCCACTTAATAATGGACAATTCCTAATGAAGCTGGATCCTCAGAAGGCTGATAGCAACCATGCTTTCTTTCTCTCCCTCTGTCATGGTAGAATAGCTACATCAGGGGACAAGGGAATCATGATGAAGATTGACATGAATTAACATTACACCTTTGCTTAAAAGTGATCCTTTGGCAACCAAGATGACATATATGCACAAACTTTTTCTATGAAAGTCTGCTGAGAAGCCAATTAGCAGATAATTGGGAGATGCCTGCTAATAACAGGTTTCTGTCACCTTTGGACAGATTTAAACACAAACACACACAAAGAAGAACTTGCAAATCAAGTCCTTATTAAAGCAGCACCTTTAGGCAATTTGAAAATGACAGGTAGGAATGAAATCAGCTAGAAAATGTGTGTGTGTGTTTTTTTTTAAAAAAATAGCTCATCACAAGCACTTTCTTTGGAAGAACACTCTTCAGTATATCCAAAATAATTACAGTTCTTCAAGCCTCCAAACAGATAATAAATTCACCACCGCTAAAGAACAGCAGCTGTGCACCCCAGGTGCCCTCAAATGTCAAAATTCCTTCCACACAATGCAAGCTGTCATGAGAAATGATGGCACCCAAAACTTCCATGCTGCTTCAAGGGACAGCTGTCCATTTTAACTGGCACCCCAGACACCTCAACTAGCCGAACATATTTACCTGCTGTTTTGGGAAAGAAATTCAAGACATGGTGTATGGGAGAAAGCAGAACCTGAACAACAGTAGGCCTTCTGCAAGTTAATTTTGCCACTTACTCAACACAGACAAGATTTCCTTAAAATTCAGAAACCAGTGGACTGAAAAATTAAGATGAATATGATGGATAGTAGCGTTGTCCCTAATGTTTGAAATAAAATAATTGTTTCTGAAACAGTAACACCATGGACAGCCAAGAAAAGAAACCAATGGATCATTGAACAAATCAACCCAGAGTTCTCACTTGGGGCCCAAATAATCAGATTCAATTTTTCCTATCTTGGACACATTATACAAAGACCCAGCTTTCTGGAAAAGGCTTTAATGCTGGCAAAGATTGAAAGGAAGAGGAGGACAGGCAGTAGGAAAATGTATAGACTGATTTACAGTGGCACTGGGAGAGTCATTGAAGACCTGAAGAACCAGGTTAGGGATTGATTGTCATGGAGAAAATCTACCTATGTGGTCACTAAGAGCCGATGACAATTTTAGTATCTCCCATGACAAGGGTATCCATGGCAAGTGAGTGATAGCTCATGAATCCTGGTATCATCATGCAAATGATTCATACTGTGCCTTGATGCCACTAAATACATGATCAGGGGTGGGATTCTACCAGTTCTCACCAGTTCAGCTGAAACCCTTCTTCCGAAAATCAGCTGGCAGAGAAACAGTTCGCTGTGACTATCATGTGGGCCCACCTACCCGCCCCTGCACTTTTACCTACCTATATCATTTCAGCTGATTAGCGCGGTACAGCGGATTGCCGTTTCTCAACTGTGTTACTCGAGTGCTGTTCACGTGCACGCAGTGCGTGTCAGGCTTGGGCGTGTAAGAAGCGCACATGCACATGCAAATTGCATGATCACTGAACCGGTTGTTAAACCTGGAGAATTCCATCTCTGTGCATGATGTAATTGAGGCTTCTACTAAGTGCCTTAGTTCTGCATAAGTCTTATCTCTTTCAAAGAAGAATCATACTGCAACTATTGTAATAAGTTGGCATAAGATCAACTGCAACATATTCTGTTTTTAAGTTTGAGCACCTATCAAGCCAGTCTAACCAGTAATGCTCATCCCAAGAAAAACTAGAAATATTTTACAGATCTAAATGTAGCTGTTAAGGGGGAAAATGAATGAAATATGAGTAATTCTTGCCATAGTCATTCTTGTAGATTGTGTTCTCCATTTTTATCACTTCCAGATGTATTAGAATTCAACACTCACCATCTTCAGCCAGAATGGCTGTTGGAAGGTTTCCAGAATGTGAAACCTAGTCTCTTGAGTCATTATGTTATTGGGACTTGGTAATGAAAAAAAAATTGGTCAACTCCATTTCATCCAAAGATTTCAACACCCTACTCTATTTACTCTTAGAAAGCCCTTGATTACTTTAAAGGAATGTGCTGGCTCATGAGATTAGAATGCTGGGCTGACAATCATTTGAGATCTATTGCTACTGCGGGATGGTATGAGCTCTCATCACATGCTCCAATTACCACCAACCCAGCAGTTCGAAAGCAGGTGACCACAAATAGACCAATGGATTCCACTTTGGTGGGTGAATTTATATGGATGCAAAATGGCCCCCAATTGGGAGTGCCCTGGGCAACAGTGACGTCACCAGCAAATCCTTTCACCACAAAAGTATTAGTATCAAACATCGGTCCCCAAACTCTTCATCTCATTGACCCCTTCCAGAAATTTTAGACCCCCAAACTTTTATTTTATGAAAATATTTTAATAAATGCTACTTTAAGTAATACCATGTTTCTCACAAAATAAGGCCGGGCCTTTTTTTTTTTTTTTGAGCCCCCCAAAAATG